TGTGCTTTATACATAATAAAAAATATCCAGTTCCTGTAAAAAAAATTTGGCTTTTTTTTTCAGTTACAAAAAAATAAAGAGGAAAATAGTGGACTTATTAGCTCTGGAAACACCCTTTGAACCACTAACTCCAAAACAAACTGTCTGTTAGAAGATGATCTGAACTTTGCCTTTTTGACCTGTGTAAAAGATCACTTGGAACCAACAGATCTGCATGTGATGTTTTGACAAATGTTAGAAGCCACAGGCCAACCCCCACTCCATTTCTTATTTACTAATTTGATTTGGTATTATTATGGTGTTCCAGCTACAGAGAAGAGAGATTTTGCATCAAAAGCATTTTACTGCTGGTCAGAAGTGCTGGTCAGAAGTACTTGTCAGGCTGACAGCTGCCCTGATGATGAAATACTGTGCAGGACCTAACGGCTGTTCTGTAAACCAACAGCACTCTTTGCATGTATAATGTGAAACCTGTGCCCCTATTTTATTGATTGCACCATGTGCTATCCCAGAGCTCCCTCAATATGTTATTTTTTTGGTTTTCTACTAAATCTGTTCAAAGACAGAAGGTCTCCTAACCAGTCAAAAAGTGCTCTGGAGTATTTGTCCTGTCATATAGTTTCAACTAGATCACAGTGGTGGAAAAGAGAAATCTTCAAGTTTAGTTTCTTCTTTCTGCCATTGCCTTAGAGGACATAGTACAAAACCTGCCTGTTGCTCTGCCTGAGCAGATCTGCTCACCAGTCCTTCCTTCTCCTCAAACAGGACTGGGAAAACATCACTGAAGCTAAGCACACAGGATGGCAGCAGCACGGAACTGTGTCTGCTTGTAGCTAGTCAGTCTCTAAGACCTTTACTTGGTACTGATTTCAAAGTAGAAAACCTCAGCATTCAAGTATCTTTAAAACTTCCCAAGTAATATATTGTCTATAGGTGAAGGGACTCTTCTAGGAAAACCCACAGAAATGCTGAAGATTAAAAAAGGAATGTGAAGGGAAATCAAAGTTCTTTTGCTTCAGCTGCAGTTCCTATTAACAAAAACAAATCTAGGTATGTGTTTTGTTACTGAATTTTGTTCCTGTCTTCCTGGCATGATTTTAGTGCAGTAATTTGGGTTAAAGGAATGATAGCAATGGAAGTCAATGAAACTTTTCTTCTGTAACTCCAGATTTTCTTGTTTTGCTCATAGGCTTTCCAGAACTTCTGCTTAAAGTAGGAGTGCTGCTAGTAAGTAAAATGAAGGGTACAGTGTATATTTGCTCTTACTGCCTTATCTGAATGGGAAGACAGTGCTGTAATTAAGTCCAACATTCCGGTGTTCTAGATAGCATGTGCCTATTTCACTGACGCTTCTGTCTACCTTCACTTTAGCATCATGTGCTCCAAGTATATTGCTTGTAAGGAGTTATTGGCACCGTAATTGCAAATTTGGACATACCTATATTTACATGGTGCACTGCAATAAGAAAGCTGACATAAAATTTCCTTTTGTGTGTTATGATATTGACATGTTTAAATCAGAGAAGCTTAATTTGTAAATTATTGAAGACATAATTACTTTGTAACCAGTCAAGCCACAGCTCACCAATACTTCTCATTCATTCAAGCCCTGTAATATTACAAGCAGCCCAGACTAGGAACAGAATCATTAAAATAGTTTGCAACAGAGCAACTGGCAACATAATGCATCTTTAATAAATACATGTCTACATGCACCCTGAACCTCCTGTTGATTCCCCTGGGATGTGTGCCACACCTTCAAAACCTTTCCCTATGGAGGAGGCCAAAAGAGGGTGGACAAGCAAGGATCATGGGAAGGGAACTTCACTGAATTCACAGTGTGGTGCATGCTCTGCTGTGGAACACTATTGCATGCATGGTTACCAATATTCAGTGCCTTCATTTCTGCTGCCTTGCAAATTTTATGTGTTGCCTTGCCTATACTGAGCCCACTGCTGAGCAGCATCAACAGGAAAGCCATTATCAGCTAAGCAGCCAGCGAGAGTTTTGCATTTGCATTGTCTAATGTACAATTAGAAAATGTAACTAGATCTGCACATAGCTAATTTCAGTGTGTGGGGAAAGCAGCAGAGCAGTGGCTGCTCAGCTGTAGTCCCATCCCAGGCTCTGTTCCTTTCCTTGCCATGCCTCCAGCAGAGCCGTGGGGCCAGCTTGGGGTGCAGTTATTCTGAGCACTAAACCACATGGTCTCAGAAACATCTTAATAAACTCTGACCAGCAACGCAGCCAACAGCTTCACCTCAAAATAGAACAGCTATCTAAGATCTCAACACAGCCAGAGAGCATCTTGTCCATCCAAGAAGACAGGAACTCTGGTACCCAGGAAAAATGACTGAAAAAACCCACTTTGAAACAGATATGCTGACGCTCACGCGATTCGTTATGGAGAAGGGACGGCGCGTTAAAGGAACGACAGGGGAGCTGACACAGCTGCTCAACTCCATACTGACTGCCATAAAGGCCATTTCCTCTGCTGTCAGAAAGGCAGGCCTTGCCCACATGTGAGTCCTACCTTGGGATACAGGGAGGAAGAGGAGTTACAGCTGCTTGCATGGCAAGGCTGGGGAGTGGGCAGGGATTATTAAATACTTCAGAAGTGTTGAGGTCAGAGCCTGGATTATCAAGAGTGGGAAGCAGGAGATCTCTTTCTGGAGCATCTTAATATTGGGCACAAGACAGACATTTAAACTAACCACAGTTCTCTAATATTTTAATCTAAAAATATAAGTCAGAACTTCAATGTACTGTTCACCTCGATATCTCTTGTACTTGTTGATATTTATCTGTTTTTAAATCTACTGTGAATTTGCTGAAAATCACACCATGATATTTTTAATGCAGACTATCACACTGTGATATTTTCCACTAGCATCCAAGCCATGCTGCTGAACTGTGCAAATCAGGGCTTGTCTTGTCTTGGGAAGTTGATTTTTTGCCTGTCTGCTGTATAAGTAATGGCCTAAAGCAACAGCCCTGTGAGAAATGCCATACACTGCCATGCATGGGTGCATTTCTCCTTCCTTCCTTCAGATCTATCCCTCAATCAGGGTTGCAGGCAGGGAGTCTCAAAAGACCCTATATGAAAAAAACATAATAATTTGGCATCTACTGCTTTAGCAAATGGAATAAAGAATTGCCTTAGCATAACTGGAATGTACTGAGCTGTTCCTCATGCAACCAGGTGAAATAGACATCAGCCTCTGTCTTTTAAACCTGATCTATCTGAAGCAGTTCAGGGATTATGCTTTTAGAATAGAAAGGTTTTGAAATGTATTGAAAGATATGTTTCTGGACATGCCAAGTATGTACATATACATACATGCATGAAAGAGACAATGAATATATTTGTGAAAGAAAATCAACATTTGTTCTGGTTTGGTTTTGTGTTTTGTTTGTTGTTGTTCTGGGATTTTTTTCCCCATGGAAACACTAAAAATGTGTGACACTGGGACTTTTGTTTGTGCTTCTGTTGATTATTTGGTCAAAGTCCTCAATTAACTTTGCAAATCATGAATTCAATGTCTCAAAACTCTCACCCTCACTTTACAGGCACAGACCACAGAATGTAGAGCAGATATGAGACATACTCAAAATTAACAGCAGCATCAGGGTCCTATGCCATTACTGTATAACTATGCTTTGCCTATATCCTTACTAGGTGAAGCTGAGCTGTTTTGCCTCCCTGTGTTAGCGTAGAAAACACATAATCACGGAATGATTATATGGGTGCTTTTATTGAAGAGCTCTGGGAGCCGGGGTACAGACCCAAATCTGACTCCGACATGGTTCTGAGATGGATACATTTTTATACTCTTCTCTTACATAACCATGGTATAGTCATATGTTAATCATTACTTTGCTATTGTTCTATTGATTTCATCCAAGCATGATTCGAGTTCTCTTTCATCCTTGTTATGCTTCACCCAAGCATGAGTTTCAGTCCCCCTTCCATCATTGTTGTATTTCACCCGAGCATGAGTTCGAACCCCCTTTTCCATGATGGTTGTATAATTATCTGTTATTTAGGGGGTACGTACAGGTAGGTACCCAGGTGTACGTGCACAGGTACACCTCGACCTGCTAAGATAATGATCACTCTTCTCATTAAGGCCTATTCTAGCTACCTTGCCACTAAGGCCTACTTTAGCTACCTTGCCACTGAGGCCTACTTCAGCTAGCTTGCCACTAAGGCCTACTTTAACTCCCATGATTTTAGAAACATTTTATCCCATGTTATCACCTGAGAACAGTTGTTTTCATGTCACTTTTATCTTTCAATATGCAATCTCTGAAGTATGTAATAAGTGCAGAGAAACTAGGGTTGGAATAGCCACATAGCCTTCTTCTCTTTCAACAAAAAACACCTATTACATTAAAGAGCAAATGTCTCTCTCTATAAACAAAAGCTTGAGACGGTGAATCAGAAATATCTAAAGACTCCAAACACACAAATCAGTAACTTGCACCATTTGAATTACTGCAACTAACCATGAAATTTCAAAAATTCTCGTGGCAAACTTTCAACCACTGTGACTGGCTTACATTCATCTGCATCTGTGTAGTTAAAGAGCTCTGGTTTTTCTAGCCCCTCCAAATAGGAGGCTGTGAAGTGTCTTCTCTAGTGCTGAAGAGCTCAGCATAGACATTTTAACAAATTTGCAATTCAAAAATGAAGGAGAACTTTTACCAAGTCATAGACTTGAGTTGGGATTGTGCCTGAAAATACACTAACTGGGGAATAGGTACTTAGCACTCCATGAAAATCACGGTCCTTTCCAGTATCTCAAATTTTACACTCCAAAATAAAATGCTCAAAATGCTCAATACTTCTGAAAAGCTCAGGCAGCTTTCAGCTTTGAGACCTACTCTGCCCCCAGCTAAAGCCTGCTGCTGACCAACATCATACTAGGGACTAATTAGGACTAATTACTTGCCCCTTTCTTATTCCCCCCCTTTTTCTTTCTTTCTTTGAATTTTCCATAATTAAAAAAAAATAGCTACGTCTACTCCATGCGTGGTTTCTTACATTTCTAAGATGCCTAGATCATGCACTTTAGGTCTAAACAGTGTTTTCTCAACTAGAAATCTCAGAAACATATATGCTACTTCATTAGTATATTGCTAACATCAGGATAGGAAAAAGAAGCATCATCCTATCTCAGCTGTGGATCACTGAATAAAACAGACCTTGATCCTGAGATACAGTTCAGTATGGGAAATTACCTGGGGATGTATTTAAAGTTTCTGATTTGGGGCTGTCTGTGGGCTGAATGAATGTGGGTTAAAGGGCAGTCATGGAGCTGTGAGCAGCCAGAGGCAGAAAACAGTGCAGATGCTACCTGGCCCTTCTGCTTCCTCAAAGCTGCTGCCAGCCCGTTTGTGGGGCTGCTAGGGAAGCCTGGCACCCACAAGCTGGGCTGTAGGCTCTGGTCCTGGCCTAGAGAACATCAAAGCAGGAGGAAAAGGACTCAGGTAAAGCCCCAAAATGATACCATTGCCCCTTCTCTTTCTTATACATGCTTTTCTTTTCTAGGAGCAGCACCAGTCTTATAACGGACCTTAGCAGTTTAATCCAAAGATTATGATGGGGAATCCAAAGATGTGGGAAGATGAGAGGAAGGAGCCACCCTGACTTGTTTTCTTTTCCCCTAAAACCCTGTAATATTGGCCTCCCTCAGGCTTCTTGATACTTTTACTTTTCTGTAGGTTTGGTATAGCTGGCACCGTGAATGTGACTGGTGATGAGGTGAAGAAACTGGATGTATTATCCAACTCCCTGGTGATTAATATGCTCCAGTCCTCTTACAGCACCTGCGTCCTGGTCACAGAGGAGAACAAAGAGGCTATCATCACCCCGAAAGACAAGCGGGTCTGTGCAGCTCCTGCGTTCAGGGGGGTTATAGGCTCAGCCAGCAGCAGATGGCACTCTTGTTTCAAGTATGAAACCCGGGCCTGGCCTCAAAACTAACCCTTCCCTGGGGAATTGAGAAAATTTGCACCATTACACCATTGTTTTGATTAATAACTGTGGTGGATGGCATGGTTTCAACAGCTGAAGGAGGTATGGAGGGTAAAATTATTATTAAAGTTTTGTGAAGGGGGAAGAATGATTATTTTTGAGCTTGTTAACACATCCCAGGTCCCAGGTGTAAGTGTACTATTACATTCCCTGCCCACCAGTGTAATGGTTTTGGATTACATTAATATTTAGGCAAGATAAAATGAGACGAGAGCCTGGCAGAACTGGGTTTTATGTTACATGTCCAAAGGAAACACCTGACTGCTTCATCAGGCTTCCCCCAGGAGGGGATCCTATTGCAGTAAGATATTGCTCGTGCTGATGTAACCTGCCCTGTACCAAAGACATTTTCTTTCTGCCTTCTTACCCTCAAACCTCACATCACAGGGAAATCCTTCCATTCGAAACAAAGGGTATTAAAATAAAACATATTTACTTGAGGAAGATTCTTGCTTCCAGAATGAGTCACTCCTTTTGCTTTCAAATGATTTCTCACACTACTTGATAGCAGAGGACTGCTCCTTTCTATCATCTGATTTTGTGCTGTCAAAGCAGAAACATACCCACTCCTATTTCTGTGGCAGACCCTCAGGGAGTCATTGTTGTGCTGCAGGGCCAGCTGGGTCAGCAGTGCAGCCTTCTCTGGCAAGCCATATCAGACATATTTGGAGGGCTAAATGCAGTTATAAAAACATGGGACTTGTCAAGTAAAAAGAAATAATAACACAAAACAACATATCATCTAATGCTTCCCTTGTCATTTCTGTTTAGGGTAAATATGTGGTGTGCTTTGACCCCCTTGATGGCTCATCCAATATAGACTGCTTGGCACCAATAGGAACAATATTTGCTATCTACAGAAAGGTAATATGATGGATGATGGACATATGGCATGATTCACTTGGTGAAAGCAAAATGTCTTGGGTTCATCACCTTGTTAGTTTCTTTCCTAGGTCCTGCAAATGTTTCTGGGGAAAACAGCCTTAGAGGGAGTAGAAGAGGTAACACTTGAGATTAGTGTGTGCTAATATGCTGCCTGAATTCCCAGAAAGGGGACACGCCGCCCCATGAAATTGTTAGGTGGCAGCACTTCCCTCCTCCAGACACACTGGTTCTTAAATAAAGCCCTCTCACCATCAGGCAGCTGGTTAGCTCCTTCAGTGATGCCTGACTCACTGAGGGGTGTCCTGGGGCTCACAAATCACAGTGTTTGTCCTTCTGGACACTGACTGGGGAGGGCTGGCAGCCATTGCCTGGATGTATCGTGGTTACCAGTGCGGTAGCTTTCCAGCACAAGTTACCATGCTTGTTATGGACAGGAGTTACAAGCGTGGTAATGATGGAGACTGAAGGAAGGAGTCACCTGCATTTGTCCAGGCCCTGCCAGCATGTCTGCTCCCATGGGGCTGCACACAACAGCAACTGCGCAGACAATTACAAATGCTAATAGTTAGTCATGCCAAGTCTTGTGATTTGTTTGCTAATCTCCCTGCAGTTGGTGTTTTTCCCAAAGCCTGAGCTCACAGTCATATGACTGTGAGAGACCCTCAGCCATTACTATTGTGAAGTAACATTTACAGTGCTTGTGACTTCAAAGAAGTCTTTGCAGACTCAGATGCTACACTTAAAACAAAGGAAGATGTCTTTAAAGTATCTCTCCTCTTTTAACTCATTATTTTCAACTGGCTAGTCCTCAATTTTTACATTTCTTGTAGGAGATACACTAATCATCACTGCAGAGAATATGCATCTGTCTACTGGTGAACCAAATAATTATGGCACAGTCTCAAGGGGGTTGTGGCACAAGCCAAATCCTGGTATATGGCTGTCTGCATGGTTAATGGTTAGTGCAAATGCACACCATAGGTGCAGTGCAGGTCAGAAAACACTGAGATGATGCCTGGGTATGGTTTGTGAGAAGAGCAGCCCAGGGACTACCTCCAGCACCATCCAGCATCTCGCTTTTTATAGAGAAGATAGCTTATCTGTGTGGATGCTATCTGTGAAATGTACTCTTAGGGTAAGCAAAAGGACCCCACCCTTTTAAGTTATCTCTCTAAAAATAGCCTAAATGACAAAAGCAGCTCCTAAAATTTGCAGCATGCAATGGCTACATTGTCCACTATGCTTAAAGGTGGTAAGAACCACCTTATAAATACTAAACACCATCTTTCTCTTTAGAAATGTTGTGCTAATTTACTCTGTATAACTACAAAGGCAAGAGCTCACTGTGATTTCTCTGCTATCTTTAACTCTCCCGTTAATGTCTGCAAAGAGTATGGGCTGCCCAGTCTTTCTCAGGATTCTGTTTCAGAATTAGAACACTTCCCAAGTTTCCAAATGCTCAAGCTTTCAAATAATTTTCTGATCCTTTCACAGTTGTTGTACTATATATTGACATAGTTGTTGTAAATACTGTTTTAAGTTACTGTTTTCGGTGTGTGTATGTTTCAGTGCTTCATAGAAAGGAAATTACATTGTTTCATACAAATAGTTCATATCCAATTGAAATGCTAGGATGACACAGTGTTTCTCCATTACAAGAACAGCTTTTCAATTTTCTCTGCACAGTTAGAAACAATGTTGAATTTACAGGCTTTCACTTGCAGAACACTTTCATTAAAACGCTAATTCCAAAGTACATGTTACTTAATGTAACTCTGACAACACAATATCATAGCAACACTATCACCTTTAAACACTAGTAACTTCAAACACTTTGAAATAATTAAACAAGTGCCTTATTGATTGTTACCGAAGGGTAGTGTGAAAAGATTAAAAGTGAGTTGTTTATCCCTGTGTTTAAGTATCACTTAAGTATCACTTAAGAAACAAAACATAATTTCAGGCTGTTTAATGTTGGTGAACAACATTGTGGAAAAGCTAGAACAATTGTAATTCCAAAGGATGAACCTTAGCACCAGCCGATTCTAAGATGGGTGGATGACTGATTTTCTCACCATGCCTCACCTTATCTTCATTGCCAAAGGCACACCCTCAAGAACTGAAATATTTGGCTCATGTTAGGAAAGGAAAAAAGATTATGAGCACTTTTCTACCAGGGCCAGACTTGGCGAACACATTTCAAACCTGAAACTGTTTCTCTGACTGCTCCGAATCCAGAGTATCCACCATGGTGGCAGGTACCACTGCCTCCTGTCAGAAAACACTGCATCAGTTTCTTAGAGAAAAGTCACCAGGAAATACATATCAGCTCAGGTTTATTTAATGTTCTGGCTGGATTTTGCCTTCTGAAGCATGGGTGGTGGTGTTAAAAAGACTGAAACCATCAGAAAGTGGAGCTGAGGGAGGAGCTTTGCTGAATCAGCAAAGGACATGACCTCAACAGTTGTTGCTGCTAAGGGGCTCTAAGATGCCAGAGTGTCAGGGTGTGGTGACAATAAGTATTTTTCGCTTGGGTTCTTCCAGTTTTAATGCCATTGAGCTGAATCTACAACTCTCAATTCAGACTGCACAAATATGCTATGAAACTCTGTTGCTTTGTGTCACTCTGGTTTTAATTTGTAACTTTGCCCAGTGCCTCTGATGTATTTTATTTGCCACCCTTCACTGTCATGAGGACAATGTCCTCCCCTTCATGTGGTCCCTCATAGAGAAGGTGTAAGAATTCAGTGTAAATGCAAAGGATACTCATGAAACATATGATACAAATGGAGACTTGGAGACTAAGTCCCTCCAGAGCTACTCCCAGTGCTGGTGTGTAATGTTAGGCAAATCCTACATGCAAAAAATTGCAACTCAGATATCACCTGAGGGTACCCCTATAGCCAAACTCTGCAGACCTTTTTTTCATCTGCTTCACATCAACAATGAATTGAAGTGACTATGTCAGAGCTTCTCCACAGTCCATCCACCTGTTTCAGTGCTTAGCATAAAGATATTTGACTACCACCATCATATTCAAAATATAATGGAAAGGAAATCCATCTGTACATCAGAAAGAAGTGAAAATACACATCACTGAAGAGTGTACTGGTCAGCTTAACTCCCTGGTTTGTTTCACAGTACGTGCTACCTGGCAGGACAAAACTCCTATAGTCCTAACAATGAAATATCAGCTATTCTGTGGCCTTTCCACATTCTGACGAGCTCTACAAAATGTTTGTTTCAGACTGAGCTTTCTTCCTTCCTTTTGGAAGCTATATCTTGGAAACACTGTTGTGACCATGGATAGATAAACAAATTAATTCTGCCGAACTATCTCCTGAAGGAAGAGTTCCTCTGGATTTTTTTCAGAATAGTCAACAAATATATGATATCTCAGCCATATAAACTTAGGAAATGCATTTAAGAAATAGGACTGAAAAACTCATCTCAGAAAAAATATTTTAAATCAATATCATATGTAACCAGCAACTATGTATACTGTATATACACCATGTCCTATAAAACAAATCTCTTTGCAGTATTTAGACTTTTTATTTAATGGAAAAGCATACAAAAAGCTACAACAATCATACTATGTTTGCAACTAGTTGTGTAAATATATCTTTAACTCTGCATTTAATGTTGCAAATAATTTGTCTACTATAGACAACCATTGCTTTTGATGTTGAGATATATGTGCCATGGGCATATATTTTTGAAAGAGATGATGCTGTGTAGGGCATAATAGTTGGTTCTGTATAAGATTGGTTAGCAAAGTATTAGCCACTATTAGTCAATATTCAAACCTCTGAAATATAGAAACAGATGTTTTAACTAGTCTTCCTTCATCATGCACTTTATAACCTCTCTGAGAAAGCAGCTTGAACATAATTTCAAGGGACTGGGTACTGGAGGTATTTGTATATGCTGTATTTCAACTCCATGAAGAGCTGGTTGGCAACTGGATTTTTTTTCCACAGAAGGACTTGGCAAATTAATAACAATAAAAAGATTGGAGCAAAATACTGTTAAGAACTCTAAGTGTGGCAATAAAAGTGACAAAATCTTTCAGCTGAAATGAAAACATTTTGATGTGAAATTACTGTCTTCATATACCAAGAAAGATGTAGTTTTGGTGTTCCATATCTGAGTTTTCCTCTAGATGTTGGCAGACAATGATGAATGGAATCACCTTGCTAGGACCTGGATGGGCACCCTGAGAGCTCCTTGCCATGAGGCACACCAGAGAATTTCCTCTGTGGGAGAAAAGATGTTTTCCATTGAAAAATATCTATAGACATCATTCTTGATTTTTAAAGAATTCACTCAATATTAATCAATTTTTTCCTGCACAAAACTGTCTTCACTGATTTATTTTTTAACCCATATATTCTGTGCTAGATTTGCTATTTCTACTTAGCTGCTACTCAATCCAATTAAGCCCATGCAGTCACTGAGAAACTGAGTTTGGAACAATGAAATACTAAACTGAGGCCTGAAAAAAGGGGGTTTCTCATTTTAATTCCTCACAAATCATCATCAAAGCATCCACACAAGACCCACCACAACTGGCAAGCTTTTAAATAAACATTAATATCAAGCATTCCCTATCCGTTTTGTAGTTGCAGAAGGTGAAGGCTGGAACCAGCCTCCCCAAGTATTCTTGGCTCATGTCCTTGCTTACCCTGCCAGACAAACTCTTGTAAGCCATGGCAGAGACACACCCCTAGAGCTGTCTGGAAATATTTGCACCAGACAGGTCTGCTTGTTCAGTGGTAAGCAAAGTGCCAAATCAAAATATAAGTGTCAGAACTTGGCTAAAAGTATAAAGTGAAATGCCACCTGAATGTTCTGTGTAGAGTTATAGATGTATACCTACTCAAAGGCACTTTACATAATTAAACACATTTGTTATTTTATATATAATATGAACTTTTATGTCCTTTCAGTTACCCATCTCTTCATGAGCAGAGACCAGTGCATAAACTTGGTTCCATCATGCTGCACAATCTGTATTACTGAAAGCATTTTGTCTGTAATGCTAATTACAGCATTTATCTCACAGTTATTCCCTCTGAGGGGTGTCAGTATCACAGCTTATGTTTACATTTACAGAAAATTAGTCCCTCTGCCGTGTCTCAGATTTCTGATGATCTTGAATTAATAGACTGGGCTGTAATGCTAAGGTATCAGTTTTGTTGCAGGTATCATATTGATTGCGCAACATGTATAAAATAACAAACTTTCAACCTCCTGTCCCAGCGTGCATGTGTACTTGTATCAAACTTGTTCTGAGCTAGTGTGAATAATCTCTTTTTCAGTTGTTTCAAAGGCCTGCATAGACACAAAAATGAAATTTGTCACACATTATTATTGAAGCCTTGTTTTGATTGTTCATAATCAGAATTTAACCTTCAGTCCAATGGTAATTTTTCCTCAGGAAACAGACGATGAACCCTCTGAAAAAGATGCTTTACAGCCTGGACGCAAGATTGTCGCTGCAGGCTATGCCCTGTATGGTAGTGCTACACTGGTTGCCCTCTCCACAGGACAAGGAGTGGACTGCTTCATGCTTGATCCGGTACAGTCATGGTGTAGATCACATTGCCACTATCTTTTAAAGCTTTATGTGCTTGGTTTTACTTATTTTTGTTGGTTCTTGTCTCTGTAATCTGGGCAATCTATGCAATTCTTTTATTCATGTCTAGCAGCACCCCACCTCTTCCTTAGAAGTATTTAATAATACATAGGCATGTTGGTTGCAATACCTGTTTGTTTTTTTTCTATTCAGTAGCAGAGAAGTTAAGTTAAATTCTTAGTTAAGCATTTGAAATCCTGTTCATTCAAACAAAAACTTAAGAAAATTTAATCTGAACAGTGTCTTTGCCTCCACTTAAAGAACTCTTCTCTCTTGTTCTTGATTTTTCTGTCTGTAAAAGAACATCTGCATGTTCAGTGTTTAGCCTGAGGCAAAGACTGGCTTTTTGATACAGTTCATGCAGAGAAATGTTTGATTTCCTGAGTGCAGTTTAGTTTTATGGCTAAGTCACCTAAGCTGCATACACAAAGATTTGCAAAAGCATAACCATGCCTGTACAATTGGACATCTGCCACCCCTCAGTGCCCAGCCCAAAAGTCCAACAAGTGTTACTGTAGTCATGCAGGAAGACCATTCATTTGTAAAACCAGCATTAGATGTGGGCAATAACTTAGGAGGGTTTTTTTTTTTTAATATATAAAAGGATGCATTATTATCAAAACTTTTAGCATTTATAAATAATCTTGTTCCAAGTGGAAAGAACTGGGACCTGAAATGCTCTGGTTAGAGAGAGAAAAAGAGAAGGTGGAACTTGAACTGTGACAGCAACACCTGGGGATAGCTAACCACATTCACTCTAAGGTATTTAGAGAAGATAGGCAGGAAGAGTTAAAAATTCAGAAGACAGTGTAATTTCTTAATTTGCAGCCTCATGATTTGTGGACAGAAATTCATGATCCATCTGCTTTCAGGTCTGGCTGGTGTTCTTTTGATATGCTAACTATTGCACTCAATTTGCTTTTTGTTTATAGTACCAATGTGACAAGTTTTCACTAACTTAATGCAGACTTTCTGCTTTCTGCTCTTTTTGAAATACTGTGAGGTTATACACAAGACTGGTGTTGAAAGGACCAAGCTGTGCTAGCATTTCTGCCATCTCTAGTGTGACAGCTGCTAAAGAGAGTCAACAAAATTTTCCGCTGCTTGCTAATAGCTCATCTATCATGTTCTGCAGGGTATTGGTGAATTTATTTTGGTGGACAGAGATATTAAAATCAAGCAGAAAGGGAAGATATACAGTCTCAATGAAGGATATGCGAAGTATTTTTATCCTGAAATGACAGAATATTTACAAAAGAAGAAATTCCCTGAGGTAAGCAATTACTAGCAATGCACTGGCAAGCACTGCATTCAGTGCAATTCTGGCTGATGGAAAAGGATTTGAAGGCCTCCTTGAGTTGAGCCCCATGTAACCTTTTCATGCCATCAGGTCCATTTTGGGTATGTATCTAATGTGTTTGTTCTGGTGCCCTGACATCTTTTGTAACTTAGAGTTTGGTAAATAGAATCATAGCTTGTTCATAACTGTGTGAAGGAAAATGTGCCGAAGAATCAGATTTTTCAACAAAGCTCTGAAACTGTGCCAGCCAAATTTGTGGGTATCCTTATTTTCTATCTTTATCTGAATATGCCGTTCAGTCATATGTGCAGCTGGGCATTTGGGACTAGAATGCACATACCCCCCAGAAGGTGCTTGCAGTGATCTCTTTCCTGTACATGCTTGCACCTGAGAAATGCAGTATCACTCTTGCATTCTCTATTTGCATCATATGGATCATGAACCAACCTCTGGATCAAAAGAACCCCAACAAAACAAATTATGTGAGGCACAAATTTCACATTGTTCAATTGTTAAAAGAGAGGCATCCTATATCTGATGAACTTCCTTGGGCACATAGTTCTGTATGGCCTTTTGTCAATGCTAGGAGGACAGAACACAAACTCTCAACGTGGAAAGCTGGAAGCTCTCCATAAAGTGTGGCTATGTGACTAGTTTTTCATAAAGAAGTATGGTGATGTGGATCAACTCAGGACTGAATTTGGTCAGGAAAGCGGTTTTAATGTTCCTCTTGTTGTTTTGTTTTGTTTTGGGGATTTTTTTGTTTGTTTGACTATGTTTTGGTTGGTTGATTGGTTGTTATTTTGGTTTTTTTTTAAAAAAAAAGACATAGGGTTATCTTTCAAGTTGTTAGTTGATGAGAATACTTACATATGGTTCATGTTAAAAAAATGGATCCAGTAGAAAACCTCAAGGTGCTGTACAAGGGAAATAGAGCAAGTAAACATTTAAACTACAGTCCTGTGATAAACTCCTCCTTCTGAGCTGAATATCTGTATTTACTACATTGGCTACAGCTGCAAGGCTGATCTCATACCTAAACCTCTTTTCCATATCACCCAGATTGTAGCTACAGGGAGTATCATGTCACAGCATTCTAAATATATTCATTTTTAATATTTGAAGTTGTTTTGAAACTTCAAATCTGTGTTCAGTTCAGCTGTGAGAGAAGCAGAAGCCCACGTCACCGCTTTCATACTTCCTGAAACCTAATCCAGCTGGGAAAGTGGAGAACATCTGTGCATCTCCTTCTGATCACATTATGCTAGGCTATGTATTCACTGTAATGCCCTAAGACTGGATTTATTAATTTGTACTTTTGCAAAGTGTTGCTTAAAATGAAACTCTCAAACAAGTACATCAACCCCAGATAACTATGAAAAGACTGAGAAGAGTTCAAACCCAGTGGAAAGACCAGACAGAGGTATTTCACCACAGGATCAGTGAGGACAGCTCTATCATGTGACTCACTAAATTCTTAGGTTAGGACATACTGGAAAAGCCTCAGTTCCAAATGGTAATTTATCTCAAATCTGTGCTTTATTTGAGGAAAATCTACTGAAATTGTTGTCCTACTGCAATAAAAGTTGGCAAATGTGTTTTTGTTACTTTAAAGCAAGTAGCACAGAAGCGCATTGGTTGTTTGGGGTGGAGGAAGCCTCCTCAAGGCTGTTGAGCAAAACATTGTTTTGCTGCTCTGAGATGTACAGTTATCTGTATGAGAAGGGCCAAGGCACCAATGTTAGGGCTGCAAAGCACTAGGAAGTGCCTTGCCCATCTGAAAGCTTGTCATCAACCTGAGTTTTGGAAACAGCATAACTCAGTTCCTTGATTTGAAAAGGACATTATATTTGCACTGTGGGTGGACAAGAGAGAAAAAGTGTTGACATTCTTATGTAGCACAAAACCTGCTTTTTGTCACCATCTGTAAGCCTAACCAGATACAGCTACATTCATGATGTTCCTACCTTCCCTGTAGTGCCCAGGTGGAGCATTTCACAGCTTTGGTCTTTGTCTTCCTCTCTCCAGCATGCTGACGGGAAGTGGAGGGTATCTGCTGGATACCACCTGCCTGTGACTTAAGGAGGAACTGACAAGTGAGGCATGGGGTGACCCCTTCCTGCTAATGCAGACCACTGACCCTATATTCTTCTGGCCACTAGAAGCCATGAGACTAGGCATTAATTTCAGCTACTTGTTATTTTCTTGTATTTTTTCCTTTTGATCTTACCTCTATTAACTCCTTCCTGTGGTTCTTGGTCAACATGCTGATCAGATGACTCTCTAACATTGCCACAGAAGACTGAAAAGTTAAAAATAAAACAGGAAAACAAAGTAGAATGTCCACAACATGTCCCATGTTCTTTATCATTGTCATTGGCAACCAAACATTATAAATAAACTATTTATGTGGAGAGGAGAGATTTCCCTTTACTATCTAGCAACAGTGTGCCAGATCAGACAGTCTGGACTACTACACCATGTTGACCCTCAAATTTTCTTGTGGATCACCATCCACCTAAGGCATCAACTCTGAATGAAAAGCACTAGAAAAGTGCTACTGTTCTGCAGCCCAGTTGTAAACCTCCTACCACTGTCACGTGGCTCTTAGTGGGAATATTTGTCTAGCCACATATCTTCTGGTATGAGAGTAAAGCTAACTTTTTGTTAAGCTTGACAAAATCACCTCCTGCTTAACCATCTTGAAAAGTAAGCTGCTATTTGCAAGACTGCCTGTAATACAACATGTTTACTCCAGTTTGCAATGTTTAATAGGTGCTGCTGGGCCAGAAACTGTTTCTGCACAAATTTCACTCTAACTCCTTCCCAAAGCAGGTGCTTCCTTCTGTAATGTTTGCAGGGCCCTAGCTTCTATCTGGCACTGGTTCACCAACAGTAGAACTTACAAATATGCTGTGGGCATTGTCATACTTTGCTATTCCACCTATTTTTATCTTTTCTTCCTACAGTCAGGCACAAGAGAAGCTGAGTCTCATCACAGCTGAGACCTATGCAATGGAGACTCCCTGGTTAAGAATTTGTCTTAGCAATGTCATAAAAAACTTGCCATCAACAGCACATTTTAGTAGAAACATTCTTCTGCCAGCTAGCCAAGCTGTGTCCAAGTGATACAAAAAACCTAATAAAACCACCATACCTTTGCTACCGCATCTCTATGTGAAACAAGGGATGCTGGGTGTTGCTGTTGTAGTATGTAGACAAGATTTCTTTCCTCCTCTCTCCTAGTCATCGTAGTTATACAAAAATAACCTGGTTTTGTTCTGTTATAGAGGAACAGAGCTGTCAAGAATCAGCAGAATAAAGAAGTGAAAATTGACATTATCACAGTGTGAAGAAAAAAAGAACCACAGGTCCTATCTGTTCTGAGTCATTCTGTTTCTTTGCAAAAAAAAAGGAGGCAGCAGAAAGGGTAAAAGCAAGAGTAACCACAAGTTCACTCAAACGCCATGGATACTGACCAAGGGAACATCAAGGTTGTCCAGCTTTTCCATTAGAATCAACTGAACAAGTAGAAGTAGTTATTGAGCAAACACACAGCTTGGCATTGCTGAGGACTTGGGATGAACCTGTCTAGCCCTCATGCTGTGTTATTTTGTTTGAGAAGAAAGCTTAGGCAATATGCCAACCTGCATGCAACACTGATTAACTTTCTCATCTGTAAGAAAAATGCATGAGTGATGAAACTGGAGACATAAGGAATATATTTCAGTAACTAAAAGCATTATTTATTCCTCCCATGCTGGATGGTAAGGGCAGTAAAAATTTCATTTCACTCTGTGGTTCAAGTGATAACCATATCAGAATGGAGGAATTTCTCTTCTGCATTTTTCTCACCACTGTTTCTAGCAGGTGAATTTCTATAAAGGTAAGAAGCCACTAAAATTATCAGTGGCATCTCATCTGCTTAGAATATCCTGAGTTGGAAGGGCACCCAGAAAGGATTCTTAACATAATACTGCCCACGTACACAGAAATTGTGCAAATAATCTGCATGTGAATAGGACATACTGCACATTCCACACATGTCTGATGATTTGTACACAGATGTCTCAGCTGTGCAGCTCATGGTCAGTAAATTTTGTACCTCAGTGGCATCTCATCTGCTTAGAATATCCTGAGTTGGAAGGGCACCCAGAAAGGATTCTTAACATAATACTGCCCACGTACACAGAAATTGTGCAAATAATCTGCATGTGAATAGGACATACTGCACATTCCACACATGTCTGATGATTTGTACACAGATGTCTCAGCTGTGCAGCTCATGGTCAGTAAATTTTGTACCTGTGGGTTGCAGACTACTTAGCTGATGCTGTAGAAGCAGTCCTTAGCAGTCTGCTTTAGGGGATGCTTATTGTTGATATGCTATGACTTAGCTTAATGTTCCACAAACCTTTCTTAAGACTTGGTACATTACCTTTTGAAACCCTAAAAGAGAGTTCTTTGATTGTATTTTTGAAGGTAATTTGAGGCTGTAATGATATTTCCCAGACTTTAACTGCAAACTTGCTTTAACACCTCTTAAGGTGGTTTTTTTTCTGACATCAGATTTTGACAATTGCAAAGGCACAAGTGCATCTGAAGCCTAAATATGCAATTATTTGAGCATAAGCATGAAAAATAAGGGGCTAAATACTTAAAACTATTGTTCAGTTGTGCCTGGAAGTAATAGGACCAGGTATAAACAAAGCTAAACATAAAAGCTTCAAGCTGTGTCTTATCCATCATCTTTTTCATAGTTTGTATTGTTTTCTCCTGAATTTCCAATAGTTTTCCTAAAGTGTACAACAAGAAAGAATCATGAAAAACAACATAAGTACAGTTGAACAAGGGCTATTATATAGGCTGGAACAGGTGTCTCTTCCAGTTTTACTATCAGCTATATCAAATATCCAAGTCTTATGTTTAACGGCTTAAGACTCAACTTCCTAGTGTTCTGTTGCATTATAGTCTCTTCGCATTTTAAAAGAGAATAATTATCAAGAGTTCATGGTTGCACTGAACAATTGAAAAAGTGATTTCAGAATAGAGTGATGTTTTTCTCGATTTGTGTGGTTTACTCCTGCTTGTGGGTTTTTTCTTCTCTTAGTTAACTTTACGATTCTGCTGGGAGGGGTGACTAACATGTCTGAAGGTCTTGGACCTGGCATTGCTGAACAAGTTCTCTATGTATTTCTCTGGTCCTAGTAACAGCACAGGGTGAGATTTGTAGAAAGCCATTAAGGTCTTTTATTTAAAAACTGAACTAGAGAAAAAAAAATTGCAGAGGTCTTTTCAAACTTTTAGCTTTGCAATACAAAAACATATATGTGTATTAAATGTGCAGGAAGTCCTAATCTCCAGTTGTTTTCTGGGGAGGTGCAAATTCCTCCCCTGCTTCATTGAAGACAGAATGAGAACTATCAAAAGATTATCAGAGTTCTGCTCATGGTAGCTTTCAAAAAGCTTTCTTTCAGTTTATATTTTATACCTCCCCTTCATAAAAGTATGGTGATATGTCACTCCATTTTTTGAATGGAGCTTATTTGGTATGTATGCAGTTCTATTTGTCAAGACACCTTGCTTGCCTTCTATATTTCCTGCCTAACCATTTTTATGACCAGCAGACCTGAGACAGCCAAGAGTACTCCCTGATTGCTCTCACTAGGAAGACCTCTCCTTCAACAACATTAATTTCTAAGCTGAGAGCAAGGAAAACTATGTTCATGAATAAATTGCTATCTCCCAAACTAAGCTGCAGAATGAAGGCTATGACCAATTTCACCACTGGATGAATAAGCTAGAAGGTAAAAGTTGGAGTACTTTGGGAACCATCTGGACATGTAGTGAAAAGTGACATCCCTCCTAATTGCCTGGCTTAGGAATCAGTGAAGGATCAACAATCAAATTAGTGCCTTGGTCGGATAACATGAAGAGGTTTTCACTCCTTTGGTTTTTCACAGGCTGGGGGTTAATTCCAAATTCTCCACTCAAATTACAGGCACCCCAGTTTGCATACTGTGAATGCAGTTCTTTAAAGCACTTCTTTTAGAGCCCGGTAGATGATAAAAGGCTAAGCTTCAGGCTGGTTTAGGCATTTACAATACCCATAAGCAGCCATTGATTTAAACAGCTTTGATTCCTGTTTCATAACAAAATTACACTTTGCCACACTACTGCTGTCTAGCCTGGTAGATATAATGCTTTACTCCATGTTTTCCAGGATGGCAGTTCCCCATATGGTGCCAGGTATGTGGGATCCATGGTAGCTGATGTTCACCGTACATTGATGTATGGTGGGATCTTCATGTATCCTGCTAATCAGAAGAATCCTAAAGGAAAGGTAAATCATTCGACTTCCTTTCTGGTGAACTTAGCCAGAGATTTAAAGGAATAGTTAAAATAAATAAACATAGTAATTTTCCACCCCTGGAAATAATTATTAATGGATATGATGATCAGCAACTGAATATAGGCAAGAAATTTAGGCACTTGCCAATTCAGGCCAAACATCTTCCTGTGTGCTTTAATATTACAAACTACTCAAATGATTTTCACTGCAACCAAGGACTTTGCTGATTTTTCTAAAGATAACCATTTCAGTACCGTAGAAACCCACTGAAATACCTATGCATAGCTGGCCAATACAACATGGACCTAAGGAAGACCTCTGCACATTAAACTGGCAACTAGATTTGTCCCACAGGTGGGACACACTGAACTCCAGACAGGGTTTCAATGCTAGAAAACCAAGGTTACCTACTTAATGTTTCCAGAGGGCACTGAGTTTACTATCACCAGCTCTGCAAACAAAGGCTTCTACTACCTATCGGGAAAACTCTGTCAGTGGAAGGTGAATTTCATGTGCTCTGAGACCAGTATTTTGGGAAAGATGATTTCCCATTTGTACACCTGTATGGAACACACTGTGACCTAACGCAGTGTAATGCAATGCAGTGAATCCCTGAAACCGATGGGCCATGAACCTCAACTTTTCTCCTGCAGCATCAGATACTCTTATTATCAAAATTGTAAACAAATGTGTTTTAAAAGACCTACTTACACAGCTGATCTGTGGACCACCAGTAACCTGCAGGTCATCCTTAGGAAATTATTGGCACAGTGCAGAATAAATTGGTCATGGTGTTCTGACTCCCATTGCCACCTTCTTTCCTGACCAATATCATATTTAAAAACTGTGTTCAAATAGTTTTGTGTTCAGGGCTGGTATGTGGAGGAACTTGCTCTCATAAATTTACTTGCCCCATCTCCCACAATGGTAGAAGAATGTCCCAATGTCTACAGCCTTCAGGATGTAGGATTACTGGTTCCATCATGGTGGGCTTGTGTTTATCACAATACTAGCAGATCCAAGTGATCTTCGAAGCAAGAACAGGAAAAGAATTCTCTAGAGCATATGAAACTGAAAATGTCTGCATGCTTGTCCAGACAAATTTGATTTAAATATCTGAATCAGCATCCCGGGGAAAAAAAACCCCAAACAACGCCCCAAAAAAGCCCTCATTAAATGATGTGGATCTGTTTGTGCATTAGAGCAAGACAAAAAAAGGAATTTGCTGTGTGTGAGGAAAGTGGGTTTGCTGACTGGCCTCTTCAAATTAAACTTTTTGTTTTGAAATCTGTATTAGACCATTGTTGAATAGAACAAAAATGAGAAACATAACAAAAGAACAAATGAACAAAGTGCTTATAGAATTTAATAGAAATTAAGATTTCCGTAACTGTTAGCCTACATTCACTAATGGATTGCTCTGGCTTGCACTACCATGTCGAGAGAATGAAGCTAAGTAATGAAAGAAGAAAAACTGTGCGATAAATCCAAATAAAAGTTTTCTTCCTTCCTTCTCAGAGTGCAAGTGTATATAGTTCTTTTCACATAAACCTCTTCTTGTTGGAGAAATAATGCCTTTGTGGCAGATCATCATTTTCCTGAAAGACAGTCTATGTACTTGGGTAGAGAGCTGAGAGGAATCAAATGTCACTGGAATTGATTAAAAGCCTTTAGAGCAAATGCTAATGACACGGATGTAGGCTCTCATATACAGAGCTCCTTCTATAAGTTAAAGAAAGATAACAAAATGCTCAATAAACAGTACAGAGCAAACAATATCTAGTCACATTTCTGAAGAGTGGCAATCAAATCCTGAAATTTGAAACTGGGAGCATCAACTTTCAAACTCCAAAACACCCTGACCAAACACAACTTGATTACCCCAAGCTCTGAAGTAACACAAATTTTGCCTTTTCTTGCCTGGAAATGTTAACGTAGTTGGCTTAAGATTTGTCTGTGGTCCATACAGCTCCTTTTAACATTTGTAATAAAATACAGCTCCACTGGTGCTGCACATCAGTACATCAGCTTGGAAACGATAGTGGTGATGCTTGGATGCAGGGTTGGTACACTCTTCCTCAAAACAGAAGATGTTAAGGAGGTGAGGAGAGGGAAGGAAGGACTGATTGAAAGACATCGCTACTTAGGTCAATTGAAGTTTGGTATAAAAGTCTCCAAAATCACAAAACAAAATCTAGGTTTTGTTAAGTCCTTTGGTATAATTGCCCAAAGGCAATCATGTGTTCCCCCTTTCTTTCTAGCTCCGACTTCTCTATGAGTGCAACCCTATGGCTTTCATCATTGAGCAAGCAGGCGGGATAGCAACTACGGGGACTGAACCAGTATTGGATGTGAAACCTGACAATATTCACCAGAGAGTTCCTATTATCCTTGGTTCTCCAGATGATGTGCAAGAATACCTTGCTTTTGTGAAGAAGCACAAGAAGAGCAGCTAAAGTCTTTTCCATACCAGATGTTTTTCATTCACTTTCAGTTTACAGGAAAAGTTGTACCTTTCAAGATGGTGGATGCTAGTAATTAGCACCCATCTCTCAGTGAAAGTCTCACTTTATGAGAACAAAACAAATAGAGAAAATAGCTGAAGGGGATAAAAGTTCAAAAATTTCATTTGTCCTTGCAGGCAAATGTAAAATCTTATAACTCTGGTTTATGCAGCACAAACATAGAGACAGAGACCTGTTTTCTAAATAGAAACTACTTACTTTATATAATATTAACAAAAGGAGGTGAATTGTGTCAGTACTCCCATTTGATCAGAAGCTTTAGATGTAAAGTTACATGGACGGCATTGTTTGAGACACGATTTTCACATCAATATTTGCAATACCATTATCTGGATTTTCTGTCAAAGGTTTTTTCGTAGATGCTTTTTATCTTGACAGCCCTAAGAAAAGCAAAAGTCTCATGCTGTCTGAAGCAGCATTTTTAAGCTCCACATTATATATGTCTTGGGTAATTAATAGAGATGAAAAGGCTGCAATGTTGCCAGGGTATTTCGATTCTCATAAGAACAGGAAATACCTTGTGTATTTACAGACAGGCGACTTTCAATGGCACAAACTATAATAAATCATCACTATGGATGTGACACTCAAATTATGCCTATTCCCTGTTTATCCATTGTCCTCTGCAACAGAAGAGAACACAAAGCCACTGTTACACCTCCATTGTCTTTCACTTTTAAAGGTTCTGATTTCACAATGAAGCTTGGCATTTCATAGACATTATACTGCCATTTCTAGCCACTGTGGTGTTCCACCCTTCAGGGCAAGGGAGTACCCAAGATTAGTAGATGCTCATAGTTGAAAAGTACAACAAAAGTCAGAAAGTCTGCAAAAGCTTAGAAGTTTTCTTAGTAAATTACACACTTGGCATGCACATTGGTACAAGTTAGTCTCTGATCTTCTAGTATAAGCACATGGCAGTTGGTTTTGGAAATAAGAGTAGGATAAAAGGGAAGAGACAGAGAGAAGTGAATTAATGGCAGGGGTGAGGAGAGAAGGGAAGAGTG